CTCCCAGCCTACGAATGGTATATCCTACCTAGCCTATCTACAATGTCGTAGGTATCGCCAACAGTTCCCCGACGTACGAACAGATCTCGATCAATGTCGATCGCTTCAAGCATTAGATAAGTCTCTCGTATCACTCACAACCTCGATCCCCGCTCACAGATGCCACATGCACTCAAGGACAACCATGCACCCCATGAGCATAGTGCAAGGCCTGTTCGGTTTGTCGATGTATATTTATGTATATATATATATATATATATATATATATATATATATATAGATATATAGATAGATAGATAGATAGATAGATAGATGGATGTATATATATGCATATATATATAGACATTCCTAACCCACGTGGTCAATTCCTTCTCCCTTTCTCTCCCTCTCTCATACACACACTTATACACACACACACGCACACCTACGTTCAACCAAACAAGAATCGGTGGTAGAGTGTACTTCCATGTTTTAGACGTAGATTCATTTAATTTCGTTATCATGTCGATGGAAGTATCGCGGATCAAACCGAGAGATTGCCACACCCACACACACTCATACGCACTCACACATGCATCCGAGTGTATATCTAGGTAGATTCACTTGACTTAGCTCATTCAATCGACGGAAGCTGCATAGACCCTCCCCCCACACGAGTCATTACACACACACATACAATCCATCGAACCAAGTGTGGGGGAGTATACTTCCATGTTCAATCGGAAGATCCCTCAGTCTTGACTCACCCCACTTGCGAAAGTAGCATGAAGTAGTCACGGGATACACGCGTTCACTCATACACCCACAAGCCAGTAGTAGTGTATCTTTTAGATACATTCGGTTTTTCTTATTACCGATAGAGATATCGAACTAACCACGGTGAGGTAGAAGACTTACCTGTTGGTCGGTGCGTTGATCCACGAAGTAGCTCGGATGGTCAATCATGCGCTGCGCCCCCTCTTCAAGCCTTAACACCTCTAAACACGCGGAATGCGTTCGTCGTGAGTGCAGACACGAAGACAATATTTTGACAAAAGTCGCAATCGTTTCTCTCTGAAGCCTTACAGGACAAAGGCGCCAAAGTTGGGAATAGGCAGTAGATAAGTTGCCTTTACCCTCCCTCGCTTTCTCCTCTTCCTCCTCCTTCTTCTTCTTCTTTGCCTCCTCGCGTCTCCTTTTATTGCGTGATCAAATTCCCCTCCCCTTCTCACACGCTCTTCTTCCCTCTCTCTCTTCCCCTTTTCCCCTTCTCCCCTTCTTCTTATCACGCCTCCTTTTCCCTGCTCGACCACCTTTTTCTTAGTTTGCTCACGCTATCTCCTCTCGCTCATGCTCACTTTTCTTTCCGCTTTCCGCATACTCCCTTTTTGCTCTTCCTTAAGCCGTACCTCCCGTGCCTTCGCTATGCCGCCCGTACCTCTCAACGGCCAAGTCTTTCGCGATCTCGACCGGATGAGCTACTAGGCCGAATCTATCCTGGTTTCAGCGGTGTATTCTGAAAAGTAAATCCAAAAAGAGAAACCACGGGGTTCGATAAAGAATAAAAAGAAGGAAAATTAGTAAAATAAAATCTAACTAATAAAAGAAATAAAAAAAACAAAAAAAAACAAAGGAAATCTCACTTCTAACCAGCCCATCGTGCCAACTGTCACAACGGGGTCTAGTTGTACCTGGTTCCAATCTCGAAGTCACGGGTTCGCGCCCCACCCGAACGAAAACGGGGTAAAACTAAAATCGAGTTCCTTATAAAAAGGAGCTGGCTCAGGGTCGAGCGGACTCGATCCCTGCTTCCGTTGTTTATCAGTCCGCCCTTCTAACCTACTGAGCTGGCTCCCATACCGAGAAGATGGGGAGCAACTTTACTTCATATAGAGCACCGGCTCAGCCCAACCAGTAGCATGAGCTAGTTTCTAAGTACAAGTGTGTGACCCGCAAGGGTACTGGATTCAATGGTAGGCCCGAAGCGCCGGTACCAACCAGCGTTCGTGACATCGATGGTCGTGGCGGGGAAAACACTCAAGTAGCGGCCAGACCGGTACCACACTATGTAAGGGTTGATGCACCGGGTACTTAAGGCTGAGCAGAAGAAGACAAAGTTGGCATCTCTAGAAACCTAATACCGGTAGTCGCTGCTTGGTGCAGTGACGGCACGTTTCCATAGGTAGTCCCGACCTCAATGGTCGAGGAATTCGTTCATGGTGTCACGCCGAAAGTTCTTACTTTTCACTCCTGAACACCCCCGGCATGGTAACCGGCGTTGGTACTATGTCGAATGCAAAATCATGAGCAAATACCCTTGTAAGAGTGTTTGCTTCGACAGCGCGTGTCAGTCGACGCTTGAGTGTCGAACGTGACCCCCGTGACCACTGAGGGCCACACGATTATGAGTACTACATAGTATACCATCATTGCGACTGCTTGAGCATTCATGCATGGCTAGTTGATATAACTAAGAATTGTGCTGCCATGATATTTATTCAGAGTCTCGCGAGTGATACTCATCTGATCCGCTTAGTAAAAGTTACGAGTTAAGTGTGAATAAAGAGACTAGGCGAGATATTGCAAGTAAGAACGAGTTTTTGTTGGAAAGTGTATCGCGTGGTTAGAATGGCCGTCCTAATCGACCGACATAGGGTCGCACTCGAGAGATCAGAGCCTCGAGCGACGATTCGCGTGCGGGTTCGATTCGGGCGTTAACCGCACATACCCCCTATGCTACACCAGAAACGCCCTCGGTTGGGCCACCTTTGCGATTGCATACGAAAAATCTTAGCATGTGGTCCGGTAGCTCGGCGAGGATATGCCCACCTAAGGGATAGTGAAAACTCCCGCGGGATAGTGCCTCACATGACTCTATCCTGTCGTTAGGGACCCTCGAGAGGTACGGCTGGCGCACTCGGCCGGAGCGGCAAAACGCTCTCCGCGACAAGTCCCGCAAAACTTGCGTGACGCGGCCTGGAGGGTCCCCCTGCGACTGATGCGCTCTACAATTTTTCCTGGCTTGCCCGCTCGGTGCTCACGCCGACGTCGCCACCACGCAGCACTAGGATCTTCCTTTTCGACATCCTCCACCAGCCGCTGCCACTACGTACACCGCTCCACCTTCAGCCAAACAACGTGATTCGAGAAATTTGAACGCGGACCTCCGTACATTTTATTTTCATTTTTGCGGGTCGGAGCCAGGATTCGAATTTTCCCGCCTCTCAGAGCTGGACCAGGTCCATCCATATGGACATGACCCTATGGACCAGCGACCCTACCCCCCCCCCGCTGCCGGTAACAATATTATGCGACTGGTCGCGGGCCCGCCGTAGGAATCGTCCTCGGACGACCTTCCCGAGGATGAGTGGAATGACAATGGAAATTCTCTTGGACGACCACGAGGAAAACCCCTCGGGCCCTGAGGTTGATCAGAGGAGTGTCTAACGAGCCCCTTGGTGTCTCCTTTTCTTCCTTTTCGCAAATTTTGGGAGGTCATTATTACATAAATGAAAACACTTATTAGTAAAGACTGTATACCTTCGATAGTTCCACAAGAAAAACCAATTAAAAGGTAACCTACATGGCCAATAAAACTATAAGTTCAGAGTTGTTTTACTTTGTTTTGAGCCATTGCGGCTAATGCTCCTAATATCATGGAAGCAATGCTGCAAAAAAAGAAGATTGTTTGCCATGTTTTATTGAGGCTGGCATAGCAATTCCTTAGTACGGGATGCCGGGAGTGTCAGGACATAGTGGTCTAACACTTTACCTCAGGGCCGGAACGGGCTCCAGGGACATACGAGGGAACAAAGAATTGTCTGCTCTCAGATTATCATACAACACAGGGCCTAGAGATTATCGAGGGTCAACACATACAGCCCATGATTCACGATTGAGGGTGGGTTATCCTCCTAATACATACCTTACAGTTGAGGCTAGCATAGCAGTCCTTAGTACGGATGTCGGGGTGTCAGGAGATACTGCACCTTACCGCGGGGCCGAAACGGGCTTCAGGGATATACGAGGGAACAAAGGATCCGCATCTCTCTACCATCAACATCATAGTACACTGTAGTAAAAGAACAACATAAGGATAAAAGAAACTCAGTCCATAAAATCATGACCTAGGGTTGGCTATCTTCCTAGTACGTAGCAAAGGTTGAGGCTGCTGGCATAGCAGTTCCTTAGTACGGGATTGTGACGAACCACTTTCGGTAGCGCGCGACTTTCTGCGCGGTTGCAATGAGGGGTCCTAAGCTGGGAAGGTTGGGCCAATTATGGGAGATTGGGATGGATGGGAAATTGCATCAGTACCCTCGCTTCTTCGTCTTTTGCGTTGATTCTTTTTGAATGGCTGAGTTCGGAGCCGGGTGTGTCACGGGACGGGTGATTGATTGGTCGGATGGTTGGCTCGCCGCCAAGTGCGTGATTAATAAATGTTGACGTCATTTTTTTTTATTCGGTTTCGGAATTTTTGGACGCGGACATCGCGTGGGAATTTGCTTCGTTCTTTTTGAATTTTCTTTTTGAATTCTTTTTCGAATTTTGTCGAGCCTTGATGACTCTCGGAATTTCGGACTTTCCTTCCGGAACCTGTACTTTTGCTTTTTTTCCTCCTTAGTTAGGAATTTAGGAATTTTGTAATTAGGACTTTTTTTTGTCGCGCGGCGCCTTTTTGCTTATGCGCTTCTTCATGTGGCTGCAACAAAATTATGATTAGTCGGCACCTTTAATCGGGTGTGTAACTGTAATTTTGGGTTGGCGCCATTGTAACTATATCTTTCTTCTTGAGCTTCGTCTTTCCCGCCCTTCGTCTCTTTCTTTTACTGCGTTTTGGGTAGCCACAGTCTGCATGATCGGATTGATGTGTGGAGAGAGGCTACGTCCCCCACGCCGCGACCCGGTCATAAAGAACGTGGACGCTCCCTCTCTAATCTTCCTTCTAAGTCCTTGTAACTCCGTGTTCTTCGCTCATGCATGCACGCTATAAATTCCGGCTGTGCGATTAGTTAGCTCTCTTAACCATCTATTGGAAGCTCGGGGTTGCGCGCTCAGAGAGGGTCGGCACACGAGCGAAGTAAGAGGTGAGTAGAGCAGGAGTCGGGCGACCCGACGAGTTGGTGCCAAACGCGTAGGGTTGACGTGGGCCACAGCGGACTGTGGGCGCGGGCGAACCTGAAGGGTGCGGGAGGACTAAGCGGGGTGACGGCTTCGTGGGTTGGTGCGCGACGACGGACTGTCCGCATCGGAGAAGAAGAGAGAGGAAGAGGGAGTTGAGGCTGATGGACGCGGATTTGTTGCTTCTTTTATCTTTTCTCCCTCCTGTCTCGTGTATATAAATTTTGATTTCGGTTCCGGTCGATCTGCCCGTTTTCTATTTTTCGGAATCTGGACTTGGGTTTTTGCTCACAATTGTCTTCGCGATTTCCGTCTCAGATGCACTGTGTGTGTATCTTGTTGAATGAATGGATGTATGGATGTCATGTTTGGTTGCTTGTCTTTCTACCGGATCCTTGCCTTTGCCTTTGTTTGTTGCCCTTGATGCACTCATGAGTAGGATAGGAATTTTGTGCAATCGGTAATCCCATTCTGATTTTTGCTCATCTTTTGATTGGAATGTTGTTTTTGTTGCATATTGCACTCTCGAAAATTACGGAGTGATTGGACTGTCGGATGTCTGGCCTAGCGAACGCCGCGCGAGGACGCGTGTAAACGCGACTTGATCTGCGCATTTACACGTGCCCCCGTGTGTTGATTCCTCAATACCAAAAAGAACCATCGGTGGCAGAAATACTGTCTGATTGGATACGTCCATCCAGGGCCCGCGACGAAGCAATCATCATGGGCGAACACGTGTAAGCGCGACTTGATTTGCACCGGCCTGCACGTGCTCACACGCGGTAATCGCAATCGGCACAAACCCGCCCTTAGGCGTCTCGTAGCTCTGCGATGACATAATAACACGCTGAGAAAGCTTGGAGTCGTTGTTGTACGACCCGGACCACTTCACCCCCTGGGTAAACGAAATCCTCCGAAAGAACCCACGCCTCACCGAGAACCGACTGTGTCCTAGGGAGTTTTACTACGCCACCACAAGCGACCCCCGATGCTCTGATTTCCCCACTCAGAACCACACCCACTACTTCACCCACCCCGGCTTTGTCGTTATCTCCACCAGCTTCCCTCCCTTCCGCCTTCTTCTTCCATATCACCAACTCAGCGTCGTCCCGTGGAATGCCATAGCCCCCTACTGGCCTAGTACACCCTGCGGAAATTGTCGACGACGCGGCGATTCGAGAACCCCGGAAACCCGGAGGCCTAACCCAAGCATGCAATGACAAGCGCCACGTGGCCACTTTCAACGGCCCAACTCATCAGACCCCCACCCACCCCGAAGGGACCTTCCCACAAACCGCCGTCCTCGGAACCAATGGCTCGCCCGACCTTGAGTGACCTGCGTATACCATCTGCGTTATGACCAGAGGTGGTCCGCCCTCTCCGCCAAATTGCACTCGTGCCCCCGAAAAACTCTGCCACATGAGATCTCAGTTATGACCTGGGACTCCACCCCCACTTTCCCAAAAATCCTTGACACACCCCTTTTCGCACTTCCAGGCCCACATCCTACTCCGATCAGGAAGTCGCGCTGGGCGTGAGGTTGGTATCGGAGCCCGACACGTGGCCGGGTTTTAGGATTAATAGCACGTTTATTGGGCGATCTGGCTAACCGAGGGCGACCTCGACCCCGGAACGCGCATAGACGCGAACCCGTCATCACCCGAAGTAGATCGGCTAATCGCCGGGCAGCCAACATGAACGCTAATGCACGGAATCCGAATCCGCAGCAGAATGTTAATCAACCAAATCCTAATCAACCCGCCCCACGAGCACGGGTTCCCATGACGCCACCTGATCTGTATCTATTTGACCCTGCGCGTCATCTAGCAGGAGCTTGGTTGGCCACGCTCCGAGCACAGCAGTATGACGATGACAAAGTTCAGGTAAACATTCCCGCTCGATTAGGAAGAGACGCTCATCACTGGTTTAGTACCTACGTATGGGTAGATCTTCCGACCTTCGAACGGGATTTTCTGAATCTATTTGATTATGTCCACCCAGAGCAAGCACTCTACATGATCAAAGACCGGGTGCAAAAACCTCTCGAATCTATCGCAGAGTATCGAAATCGGTTCTACCGAATGTTTGTGAAAACTGAGCGAGGTGAGCAAGTCGGGACAGATTTGTTTATTGATGGGCTTCGTAGCCGGATGATAAGGGCGAAGCTGTGAAAGCAGTTTTCCCCCATCAATCACACGCTACAACAGATCATGGCCGCTGCAGAGGAGATGGAACGAAAGTTCACGGCGAACTTCCTGGAAGGAGAAGACTATCCTAAGGAAGGGGATTCGTCCGAACTCGCAAGGGCAAGAGCTGAGTTGGCTGCGTTGCAGAACAAATTCAAGAATATGGGATTTGTATCTGACCCAGTCACCTATCTGGAACAGATAGCTCCTAAACGACCAGCCCCGAGTGTGATCACGAGTGTCCCCGTCCCTGTGATACCAGTACCTGTAATGACGGCACCCCCATCACCAACTGAGAATCCGGTAAGGACAAATGAGTCTACTGCTATTTTCGAGCTGACCAAGACGTTAATTAGCCTAATCCAGGAAAGCAAGAAGGAAAAGCGAGAACGTAACGCTCGGTTAGAAGCCATGATGAGAAACATGAGGCCCATCGCGGTGCGTGCCCCTCCGATCCAACAAGGGCTGGCCCCGACGCCTGCTCTCGGGGGACCCGCGAACAATCTGAATATTTGTTATGCATGCCATCAGCTAGGGCTTCTGGCCCGTGATTGCCCCCACCGGCTTCCGCAACAACGGGTCGGGGTCGCACCAATGGCAGCGGCCCCCATCGCTAACGGACCTGGGCGGGTAGGAGCTCTCATGGAAAAAATGGAAGGTGTAGGAAGTGCGCTAGCAACCACGGAAGAGGCTGTTGAGCTCATCCCGTTAGATCAGTATGTATTGCTTGGTTATCCTGGGCTCGGAATGATCGGAACGATCAGACCGGCACCAAAACAGAAAGAAGTGGCGGAGTGGCGACCTTCTCTAGGAGAGATGGAGTCGGGAGGACCCACCTTCGTCACTGGGGAAATCGATGTGCTCAACATCATTCGAGCCCTGGACCATCGGATTCCATTCCCGATCGGCCACCTGCTCTCGATCTCTGAACAAGCTAATGAGCGAATGCTACAACACTGTAAGGCGAATCGAAAACGATTCACCCTCGCCCGAACAACGAACGTGAAAGCTAAAAGCCCTATGACAGATGAAAATACGGTCGGCACGTCGGATCCAATACGAGTAGGACTAATACAGAAAGACGATAATTTCCTACAGATTAAACCCATCCCTTGGAAATCTGCGGAATGCGACATCGAAATATGAGGAATTCCGTACAATACAATCATCGATTCGGGCGGTGCTGTTTTGGCTATCTCACTGCGAGTAGTTGAGAGGGCAGGAAGGAAAAATGATCTGATCATGCTCACAGAAAAGGACCAGCTCGTTTCGGCAAACAAAGAAAAGATTAAAACAGTAGGACGGATGACCAATGTTGCTTTTCAATTAGGAAAGGTGCATGCACTGGGAGATGTCGTGGTATTGGATGTAAACACCTACGATGTTCTTTTCGGCCTTCCCATTTTTGTGGCATTGCGAGCAAACTTGGGTTTCGAACGACGGTCGGTCATCCTCCGAAATACGGGAGGAAAGCCCTATCTTGTACCTATGAGATTGACCCTTCGCACTACAATCAACGAGGTCCCGCGAGTCTCTCCGATGATAGCGGGAACTCTCCGCATGATCACCTGGGAAAACTCCGCAGACGATGACCCCTCATCGAGGGATGCGGATAGCAGTGACGAAAATGATCCAGAAATTCTGAAACTAGCACGACAGCGCATTTATTACCCGCCGCCCAGAACGATCGCAAGAACAATGCATCTGACCAGTCGGAATATCCAAAGGACCAAGGCGATGATTCTGGGAGAACCCCTCGTACAAATTTCGAGGATGGTCGATTCTTTGGAACCCCCTCAAACCCTGTACGAAGGAATCTCCCCTCTCCTCGCCCGATACAACGACAAGAAGCACTACTGCGATATCACAGATCTACCGAAGTCCCTACTGACACCCGCAAAGGAAGTACGACTGTTACGTCTAGGGGCGGAGGTAGTTCTTTGGAACCCCATGGGCGCCTCGAGACTGAATCAGACGAACTCGGAGTAAAGATCGCAACTAAAACCGTACCGTGGCAAGACATCTGTGATGGGATCATCTCGGAAGGACACGTGGCCATCCGAGAGGAAGACGCCCAAATGATGGTCACGGTGTTCTCCTAGCGATCAGACCATTCGTTCACCTCTGCGCCACCGCCGGATGTGGCAAAACAAGCACGCACGAAGCAGATCGACGTCCGAATCTGGGATTAACTTTTTGAGGTACACGTGCCATAGTACGTACCTGATGAGATTCATCGTTTAATTGCGGACATTTTGACGGAATATCGGGGAGCGATTAGCGTAGCAAACACTGATATCGGTTTGTCGCTGGTCATTCAACATGAAATCCAGACGGGAAATCATTCCCCCATCCACTGCAAGCCCTACCGATACTCCTTGATAGAACGGAAAAAAGCTCTCGAACGGATTCGGGAATTCGAAACCAGCGGGTGGATTGAACCCGCCACCGAACCATGGTCATTTTCAGTAGTGCTAGTACCGAAGAAAAATGGATCAATTCGCATATGCATCGATTATCACAAACTGAATGAAATCACGATTAAAGATGTGTATCCCCTCCCCCGGATTGATGATTTGCTGGATGCGATTGGCTGCGCTGATTATTTTAGTAAGTTTGATATTTGTCATGGCTTCCATCACATTCTGGTTAAGGAGGAAGATCGGCCAAAAACAACCTTCGTGTTGTTTGAAGGCACGTGGCAGTGGGTTTGGTGTCCGATGGGGATCTGCAATGTGCCTGCCACGTTTCAGCGAGTGATGAACATGACGTTCCAGAACTTCGTCAACAAGACACAACTAACTCAGGAAATTATCAACTTCAGCGTGATCGTATACATGGACGATATCCTTGTCTACTCGGAGACTTACCACGGACATGCACAACATATTGAGTGGACGTTGGGAGCGCTGAGAGACGTTGGGTTCAAGATCGCACTCGAAAAGAGCGAATTTTTCCTTTCGGAAATTTCGTTTTTGGGTTACGTCGTGACACGTGGAGGATTGCGGCCTGACTCGAGAAAGGTCACGGCGGTGAGAGAAGCTCCAGCTCCCACGTCGCTGATGCAGGTTCGAGCCTTCTTGGGGTTGGCATCATACTATCACCGTTTCATCAAAGGCTTCGCCGTGATTGCGCGGCCACTAACGAACCTGTTACGAAAGGACCAGCCTCTCAGTTGGGACGCGGAGTGTGAGCAGGCCTTCGCGACCCTCAAAGACGCTCTGGCAACGACACTTATTTTGATCCGACCGGACCCCTCGAAACAGTTCATTTTTATTACGGACTGGCAACCGGAAGCTATTTCCACTATTTTAGCGCAGAAGGGGAACAATCGTCGCGAACATGTCATCGAGTACGAGTCGCGAACGGTGCCAGACGAACGGAGGAATGACTCAGCCCCCCAAGGCGAATGCTATGCAGTAGTCTAGGAAATCCAGCACTTCCATCCGTATCTCTATGGGCAGAAGTTCCGCCTCATGACAGATCACGAGCCCTTGCTGGCTTTGAAGAAACTCACTAATTACACGGGCATGATTGGACGTTGGGCGGTGCGACTACAGGAGTACGACTTCGACATCATTCACCGGAAGACAAAGACACGGCAACGCGGACGGACTGACACGTCTGCATCGGCCCGCTAAAGTGCCTAAGGGCGAGGAAATCACTCCGTGGAAAGAGTAAGAACCGGCGAACGGGCCTAAGTACGGACAAGTGGCAATTATCCCACGTGGCAAGAAGTAAACCAGTGGCAATGGGTGACGGAGGTAACCTCACTACCCCTCTTTCTCCCATCTCCTCTTCATCTCTTCTCTCCTTGCCTGATAAATTTTGCTATTTTTGCGAAGCAATCTCTCGAGTATATTTTGTCCCCATGCGTCATAACGGGGAAGGGTATGAGGAATGGATAGACTGTCGACAGTGTGTTACACGAGCCCATGGCTCGTGCATGGCTCGTGCATCCAATATCGAAATGATAGTAAACCGTGGCTATGCCCCTTGTGTCGGATTGACAAGATCTTGACCGAGGCTCGCTTTTTGGATGCCACGTCAGAAGGATTGGAAAAGACCCGGAGGTTTAGAAGGGACGAAGTATGCACCGATATCGCTTTGATTGCCACCCTAGTAGGCAACCCGCTCCAGGATTTCACCAAGGAAGATCGGAGGAGGGCTAACGAAAGGGCTCGGGATTATCGATGGGTAGAGGGTAGGTTAGAAAAACGGAAAACGGACGGCAGTGGGATTTGGATGGTTGTACCCCATCCGTTCATGAGGTACGTACCGCATCCGTTCATGAGGTACGACTGGGTGAAGACAGCACACGAAGAAACGACTGCCCATTTTGCCGTACGGATTACGGAATCAGCAATCGACAAAAACGAATGGTATTGGTCCAATATTCGAGACGATGTGAAATTCATCGTCGCAAACTGTCAAGTCTGCGCTGCTGACAAGGCGTCGATCCAGCCGTTGAGATCGATAGTACCAACGGTAGTCGAGCGGCCGTTTCAAAGGGTGAGTATGGATACTACCGATATCATGGTACCCCCTAGCCCTAATAGTTGTGAATATTCAGTCCTGCTGGTGCCACCGAAATCGCGGGGTATGTTAACCGTTTTCTCGGGATGCACCAGGATACGGAAGAAATCCTGACCGATAACGGGGCAGAATTCAGGGGGGAAGTGTTAAGGAACCTGGTCATACACGTTGTCGCTGTGCGGAATACCGCACCCCACATGTCACAATCCAATGGGCTGGTAGAAAATGCGAATAGGGTGATAAAAACCACATTGCGATGAAACATCGTGGCACGGGACCCAAGCCCTGGCCCGATATCGTAGACCACATCTTGGCGGCTCATCGGGGAACGCCCCATGAATCGACAGGCTTGAGCCCCTTCCAATTAAGGACCAATAGCGTTGCTTGCGTTTCGATAATAAGCCTCCCTGACGAATCAACGCTCAACCGCCGGCCCACAAGGGCCACGACACGGAACAAGGCCAAGCGGCACTTAGAGTTAATGTAACGGTCCCTCTCTAGGCTAGCCCGAAAATGCCTGAAAAAGATCGAGTTGGCCCATGGCCGACAGGTTCGAAGCTACGAGGCCCAGAACGGGAACGCAGGTCCACGACCCCGGTACAAATTAGGGGACAAGTGAGGAAATGTGTTCGCCAGGGTAAGCTAGCGCCACGATTCTTCGGGCGATTCCGCGTGATTGAGCTCGGACCGAACGGCGTGAACACCGTGTGGCTTGCGCCTAAAGTCTCCGGCAGCCGATCGGCTCGTCCCGTCATCCGCCATGTGTCCTACCTTTGTCCCCTTCCTCCTTCCCCATCTTCGCCTTCATCCGATTCCTCCTCCGTTGCGGAAGAGGACGACGACTGCTTATCGCCTGTCTCCCCGTCTCCTTCTCGTTCTTCTTCTGTTACTCCGTCCCCATCGCCATCGCCATGAGTTTTCTTACGGAACGAGCTCTCGACGATCCTCCACTGGTGCCACGCTGTCACATCTCGGCGATCCGACAAGTTCATCATCCGCGGCTCGATCCGGACCTTCGGCGACTTGCACAATTCTTCTGTACCAGGGAGTGTACGCAACCGCTGAGTTTCGCTTCGCAGGCAGTTCCCGGGCGGTTGTGTTGGCAGAGGCGGTAACAGTTCATCGACGATCGGCTCCTGGAATCAGCCACGTGTCTATAGTGGTCGCCTTCGGTGGCGACATCAGCACCATCAGCCCCCTGCGACATACAACTGTCAAGACGTCGCTCCGGTTGTGGGCGCAGCAGTTGGCGTCGGTGTGGAATCCTTGGCTCACGCCCCACGGGGATAACCTTTTTCCCACGGATGGCGTCGACCTCGACGGTATCCGAACCTTCCAACACGAGCCGGCGGTGGTGCTCCCGGAACTCATCCCCTTCCCCCGTCCTCAATGAACCCATCCCCGATCTCCACTTTCGACCTCCCCTCCTTCTTCCCCACCTTCTGGCAGTCCGGAGTCCATCCGCACCTCTCCTTTTGTCTAAAATCACTCGCTGTCCCCCTCCTTGATCCCCGGCAGTAGACGCGTAGGAGAGAACACTTCGTCGAGTTGTCGGTGTGCCTGGTCGGAGTAAAGCTCACGTGGACGTGGCACGAGGATCACCGCCAGTGGGCTGAGTACCTCGAGCTTCTTATCATCCAGGCGTGGCGAGCAGAAACCGAGGGCGATCTGCTCAGATTCCTCTTCGGATTGGTGCGGCCCGATCATCGCCAACTGATCGTGCACGAGTTAACGGTCCCCCTTGCGCAGCTGGCCGACGATTTCCCACTTGAGATCGTCTCGCAGAGCGACGACAACCTAGTCCCACGCTTTCTCACTTGGACCTTAGCGCCATATCTCCAGTGGTCGGCGTGCTTGGAGGAACCGGGAAGCGGCCGCTACCCACCGTCACGGCGTGGCTATCTGGACCCGCACGAAATAGTCGATCTCGACTTCTTTCAGGATCGAACGGCCTCCGAGAACGAGGAGGAAGAGATAGAACCAGAAGAAGAAAGCTCGGAAGAAGAAGAAGCCGAAGAACAGGCTGACGAGGAAGAAACTCCCGAAGAGGGGAGTTACAGTGAGCACAGTGAGGGCGAGCAAAGTGAGGAGGAGGAAGAAGAACAACAAGGCGAAGAAGAAGAAGAAGATCAGGAGGAGCTGGAAGAGTCGGAGTGGGAAGGATTCGAAGAAGAAGTGCGTGACGAGGCTCAGGCGCAGGCCCAGGCGCAGAAGAGGGAAGAAATCGCGGTCGCGAAGCGACAGTTGGAATTCGCCAGCGCAGCCGGTCAGCCGCGCATTGACGATCCGGCCCGAGATCCGGAGCCACCCAAGCCCGAGGATGGAGAGACAACTGCCGTGACTTCGGCCGCACCAGCAAGACGGCGACGAAGCCGATCCCCCTCCCCCTCCACCACCAACCGCCCACCAACTCATCCACGTACCGATGCGGGGTATCGGGCTTCGTCCTCGGTCGTTATCCCGCCGTCCCCTTGACCACCTCTCTTTCCGCCGGATTGCCACTCGCGTCACCTTCCCCGACAATCCCTTCCCCATCGATCCCTTCCGCTTTTTCTACACTACCCGCCTCGTAGTCATTGTTCATCCCCACCCTTCCACCCGATGCGCCCTCCCTGTCTTCTACCTCCATATCCTTTTCCTTAGTGCCGCGTGGCGAGGCCACAATATAATCGAGGTATACTGCATGATTACGGGGACTATCCCCGCATGCGAGAACCACGATCACTTTCGGCGGCCCTTTTCCGAACCTTTACCACCCTCTACCCCGACTCCCTCGCATCCCTCCCCCACACAGGCAACCGATTCCCCCGCTTTCACCGGATCGTTCGCTATCAGGAACTTCTGGAGACGGTGGCCGGAATGGAGAGCTTCCTTCCCCCGCTACCCATCAACCCTCCCCCTCGCCACCCCTCCATGTACCGTCTCCCCTTTCCCCTCCCCGACGCTCGCTGATGTATGACTGATGGGCACGCGTCATGGCAACGGCACGTGTAATCCCCTCCTTGGATTGTTGATGGCCCTCCCTGAGGAATTAGCAGTAGAGTTGTGTTGCCACGATTGGATGACGTCCACACTCCTTCGAACGGTAAGTGGCATAGAATGGAAAGCTCGGCGTGTCGATCGATTAGAGAGATCGACACGTTTCAACAAGCAAGCAGGAGCTTGCTAATATTGGAACCCCCTGGCTGAGTTCGGAGCCGGGTGTGTCCCGGGACGGGTGATTGATTGGTCGGATGGCTGGTTCGCCACCTAGCGTGCGATTAATAAATGTTGACGTCATTTCTTTTTTATTCGGTTTCGAAACTTTTGGGCGCGGACATCGCGCGGGAATTTGCTTCGTTCTTTTTGAAATTTGTTTTGGAATTCTTTTTCGAATTTTGTCGAGCCCGATGACTCTCGGAATTTCGGACTTTCCTTCCGGAACCTGTACTTTTGCTTTTTTTTCGCATTAGTTAGGAATTTAGGAATTTTGTAATTAGGACTTTCTTTTGCCACACAGTGCCTTTTTGCTCATGTGCTTCTTCATGCGGCTGCAACGAAATTCTGATTAGTCGGCGCCTTTAATCGGGTGTGTAACTGTAATTTTGGGCTGGCGCCATTGTAACTGTATCTTTCTTCTTGAGCTTCGTCTTTCCCGCCCTTCGTCTTTTTCTTTTACTGCGTTTTTGGTAGCCACGGTCTGCATGATCGGATTGATGCGTGGAGAGTGGCTACGTCCCCCACGCCGCGGCCCGGTCATACAGAACGCAGGCGCTCCCTCTCTAATCTTCCTTCTAAGTCCTTGTAATTCCGTGTTCTTCGCGCATGCATGCACGCTATAAATTCCGGCTGCGCGATTAGTTAGCTCTCTTAACCAGCTGTTGGAAGCTCAGGGTTGCGCGATCAGAGAGGGTCGGCACACGAGCGAAGTAAGATGTGAGTAGAGCAGGAGTCGGGCGACCCGACGAGCTGGTGCCAAACGCGCGGGGTTGACGTGGGCCACGACGGACTGTGGGCGCGGGCGAACCTGACGAGTGCGGGAGGACTAAGTGGCGTGACGACTTCGTGGGTTGGTGCGCAACGACGGACTGTCCGCATCGGAGAAGGAGAGAGAGGAAGAGGGAGTTGAGGCTGATGGACGCGGATTTGCTGTTTCTTTTATCTTTTCTCCCTATTGTCTGATGTATATAAATTTTGATTTCGGCTCCGGGCGATCTGCCCGTTTTCTATTTTTCGGAATCTGGACTTGGGTTTTTGCTCACACTTGTCTTCGCAATTTCCATCTCAGATGCACTGTGTGTGTATGTTGCTGAATGAATGGATGTATGGATGCCATGTTTGGTTGCTTGTCTTTCTACCGGATCCTTGCCTTTGCCTTTGTTTGTTGCCCTTGATGCACTCATGAGTAGGATAGGAATTTTGTGCAATTGGTAATCCCGTTCTCGTTTTGCTCATCTTTTGATTTGACTGTTGTGTTTGTTGCATATTGCACACTCAAAAATTACGGAGTGATTAGACAGTCGGATGTCTGGCCCAGCGAACGCCGCGCGAGGACACTTGTAAACGCGACTTGATCTGCGCATTTACACGTGCCCCCGTGTGTCGATTCGTCAATACCAAAAAGAACCATCGGTGGCAGAAATACTGTCTGATTGGATACTGCCATCCGGGGCCCGGGACGGAGCAATCATATCGGGTGAACACGTGTAAGCGCGACTTGATTCGCACCGGCCTGCACGTGCTCGCACGCGGTGATCACAATCGGCACTGACCCGCCCTTAGGCGTCTCGTAGCTCTGCAATGACATAATGACACGCTCAGAGAGCTCGGAGTCGTTGTTGTATGACCCGGAGCACTTCACCCCCTGGGTAAACGAAATCCTCCGAAAGAGATACCCATGCCTCACCGAGAACCGACTGTGCCCTAGGGAGTTTTACTGCGCCACCACAAGCGACCCTCGGTGCTCTGATTTCCCCACTCAGGACCACACCCACTACTTCACCCACCTCGGCTTTGTCGTTATCTCCACCAGCTTCCCTCCCTTCCGCCTTCTTCTTCCGTATCACCAACTCAACGTCGTCCCGTGGAAGGCCATAGCCCCCTACTGGCCCAGTACACCCTGCGGAAATTATCGACGACGCGGCGATTCGAGAACCCCGGAAACCCGGAGGCCTAACCCAAGCACGCAACGACAGGCGCCACGTGGCCACTTTCGACGGCCCGACTCATTAGACCCCCACCCACCCCGAAGGGACCTTCCCACAAACCGCCGTCCTCGGAACCAATGGCTCGCCCGGCCTTGAGTGACCTGCGCATACCATCTGCCTTATGACCAGAGGTGGTCCGCCCTCTCCGCCACATTGCACTCGTACCCCCGAAGAACTCTTCTACAGGAGATCTCAGTTCTGACCTAGGACTCCACCCCCACTTTCCCAAAAATTCTTGGCACACCCCTTTTCGCACTTCCAGGCCCATATCCTACTCCAATCAGGAAGTCGCGCTGGGCGTGAGGTTGGGCGTCACAGGATGTCGGGGGTGTCATGGACGGAACGGGCTCCAGGGACATACGAGGGAATGGAGGATACCCAACTCTCTATCATCACCATTCAACTAAGCTAGATAGGAGTCACTGTGCACCCTCATGAAGACCTGTAGTAGCATGTTCAAACCCAGCTCCCGAAGTCCCCGTGCACTCAGGCTTGCACAGCGTCTGCTTCAACCGGGGCTGAGCAGGGGGTAGGCACCTCTGCTTAGCCCCGGTACCTGCAACCGCTGTCTGGTCAGGTCACCCCGCCATGATGGCAATGGGTGATGGTCCTGGGTGGTTAACACTGGGGTAGGACAGGGGGGGTGGGGGTGCACCAGGGCAAAAAGATAGGAGGAAGGTTGGGTGGGGTCTTCAGAGGGGTTCATCTGGACAACCGAGTGGCCGAGTACTGTGGGTGACTGCCATCAGTCTAGTATCCCACCTTTACAACAACCTGGGCTTTATGAAAAAAAAAAAAAAAAAAAAAAAAAAAAAAACTACTGTAGCAAAGTTGCAGGAAAAAAATAAATAAATAAAAAAAATCACCCCTCCCCCTTTCCAACTGACGATTTCACAATTTCGTGCCACTGCGAAGGCAGAGAAAAAACAACAAATTATTTTCTCGCTGCCCATTGGAGGAAAAACTGCGACCTCTAAACGGTACCCGCTCCAAATCATGTTGGCCATAATGATCCCACACCATCTATGGCCACCCTGTGTCACTAATCGCCACACATGATGGAAAACCCTGAGGCTGCGTGGTAACACTGCTCTAGTGGGTCCTACTAGCCCCTGCACCTGCAAGGACTGCCCGCCTGGTGTCACGGAGGACGAAAATGCCCACCACACATGATGGAAAATCCTGAGGCATCCAGCGGCCCAGCTCAGTTGGTGAGGTACGCAAGTGGCATTCAGGAGGTCTTGGGCTCAATCCCCGTTGGCCTCATGTACCTTCCTGGGCAAGCTTGGCGCCCGCCACCTACAGATAGGCAATTGGTTCCCCCGAGTGGCATTGAGCAGAGACTGCTGATGTTTATAGTGGAACGGGACCGGAGAGGAGGCACAGCGACTGGCATAGCATCAGTCCTGATGCTAACGGCTGACCCCTGGCCGGGGGCTAGGTCCCACTTGCACGACTTAAGAGATACTGACCGTAGATAGCAAAGCAATGCACTTGTGCAAGTGGGACCTTGCCCCGGTACCGCCCACCTGCTGTAGCAGGAATCGCACCTGCTGGTGGGTGCAGCTCCCGTAATACCACGAAGACAAAAGGCCTGAAAAAGGTAAAAAAAGCTCAGGGAAACATGTTCATCCAGGTCCTGACAGCATCTTCCATGGCAGCGTGGTAGCACTGCTCTAGTGGGTCCTATCCCCTGCGCCTGCAAGGACTGCCCGACGGGTATAACGAACAACAAAAGTGCCCACGGTGTATGAAGTCATCACATCCCCCACGGGCTGTGAACTGTCGCCGTGTCAGATTCGAGGCTCGGTGCCGGGCCTGTTACCTAACCGCTCCCAGGTATTCCGGGCGCTGTCCGGGGGCCGAGGTCCCACTTGCTCAAATTAGGAGATTTCGGCCGTTGATCTTTGTAATCTACGGTCAGTATCTCTTAATTCGTGCCAGTGGGACCTAGCCCCGGGGGACCGCTCACTGACGGATGTACCCGTCCCGCCTTGAGTACCGTCGTCCCCCGAATGGAACACGAGGTCAATTGCCAGATACCGCGATAATGGGCCTCGCTGCACCACTTTCCACATCCACAAACGCCAAAAACAGATGGCAATGCATCTTTCTATGTTCTAGGGAGGGATTCAGTCTCATTTTGCACAGTTGTAGAATAGTGCAGCGAGGCCCAATGACCGCGCGCGCTATTCGGGGCGAGCCGGAAGTTGCGCTTTTGGAGGAGGAGGGAAGGTGTACCCGTAGTTACCGGCCGGCCTGGCCGTTCATTCTTACCGCCATCTCTCACTGCCGCTCACACGCACTTCCCTGTGCGACCTCTCGCCCGCCCTCCCCGGTCGGGGCCCCCCTCTTGCGCGTCCTGCTCCCCCGTCCCTTCACGTGTC